ACTGCACCCCCCAACCTCCGCAAAGGTGGAGGACCCATTAAGATGGTCCGCCCCAGGAGGCTTATGGATCCAAACGGATTCCTGACGGCTCTTGGGGATTTTCCCGCCTCCTCGGTAGGTGACCATGTCGAGGCCTTGGTCGCTCTCTGGAATGGGGAGATGGCCAGGGCAATTGACGTGATCGCTCCGGAACATCCCCTCTCAAGTAGCCGAGCTAAACCAGCTCCTTGGTTTACTGAGGAGCTGGCAGTGATGAAGCGAAGGAAGAGGGAACTAGAGAACGTGTGGCGTTCGGACCCAAGCGAGTCAAATCGAGCACGGTTTGTGTCCTTTTTAAGGGCATATGCCGCGGCAATAAAAGCCGCAAAGAAATCTTTCTTTGCGGCTACTATTGCGTCTGCAAAGAACCGTCCGGCGGAGTTGTTTCGGATTGTCAGAGGTCTTTTAACTCCCACCACCTCAGGTGGGAGCCCTGACAATTCGGTCACGCGCTGTGAAGCATTTGCTCGGTTCTTCGCAGACAAAGTCGCTTTGATCCGCTCTGAGCTGGACACCATGTTAAATGCAGTCTCAGAGGATGTGACACGAGCACCTGCTTGTCCTATTTTGATGGATTCTTTTCAGTTTGTGAAACCCGAGGATGTGGACAAGATACTTGGAGGAATGAGGCCCACCACGTCCATCCTAGACCCCTGCCCATCCTGGCTTCTAAGAGAGGCCAGAGGGGGATTGGCCGAGTGGGTAACAGTGGTGGTTAATGCCTCCCTTCGGGAAGGCAAGATTCCAGCGTGCTTAAAACAAGCAATTATAAAACCGCTGTTGAAGAAACCATCATTGGACCCCACTAAATTTGACAACTTTCGGCCTGTTTCCAATCTCCCCTTTTTGGGCAAAGTCATGGAAAGCGTGGTGGCCTCACAACTCCAGGTATTCTTGAGAGACACGGATATTCTGGATCCGGCACAGTCTGGTTTCAGACCGGGACATGGAACTGAGACGGTCTTGGTCGCCTTAGTGGATGATCTGCGCCGGGAGCTAGACAGGGGGAGGGTGTCCCTGTTGGTGCTCCTGGACCTCTCAGCGGCCTTCGATACCAGGAGCTAGACAGGGGGAGTGTGTCCCTGTTGGTGCTCCTGGATCTCTCAGCGGCCTTCGATACCGTCGACCACGGTATCCTTCTGAGGCGCCTTGCGGAGATGGGTCTTGGGGGCACTGCTTTGCAGTGGCTCCACTCATTTCTGGAGGGTCGTACACAGAAGGTGTTATTGGGGGACTCCTGTTCAACACCACAGCCTTTGACCTGTGGCGTTCCACAGGGTTCTATACTGTCCCCCATGCTGTTTAATATCTACATGAAGCCGCTGGGTGAGATCATCCGGAGTTTCGGGGTGCGGTGTCATCTGTACGCAGATGATGTCCAACTCTGTCACTCCTTCCCACCTGCTACTAAGGAGGCTGTCGAAGTCCTGAACCGGTGCCTGGCCGCTGTAATGGTCTGGATGAGGGCGAACAAACTGAAATTAAATCCAGACAAGACAGAGGTACTCCTGGTCAGTCGCAAGGCCGAACAGGGTATAGGGTTACAGCCTGTGCTGGACGGGGTCGCACTCCCCTTGAAGGCGCAGGTTCGCAGCTTGGGTGTGACCCTGGATTCATCTTTGAGCCTGGATTCCCAGGTTTCAGGGGTGACCAGGGGAGCATTTGCACAGCTTAGGCTCGTGCGCCAGCTGCGCCCGTACCTTGGGAAGTCTGACTTGGCCACGGTGGTACACGCTCTGGTCACATCCCGCCTTGACTACTGCAACGCTCTCTACGTGGGGCTGCCCTTGAAGACGGCCCGGAAGCTTCAGCTAGTCCAGCGCGCGGCAGCCATGTTACTAACAGGAGCAGGACGCAGGGAGCACACAACGCCCTTGTTGTCCCAGCTCCACTGGCTGCCGATCTGCTACCGGGCCCAATTTAAGGTGCTGGTGTTATCCTACAAAGCCCTAAACGGTTCCGGCCCAAAATACCTATCGGACCGCATCTCGGCCTATGAGCCCACGAGGGCCTTAAGATCGTCTGGGGAGGCCCTTCTCTCGATCCCGCCTGCCTCACAGGCACGTCTGGCGGGGACGAGAGAAAGGGCCTTCTCGGTGGTGGCCCCCCGGCTGTGGAACACCCTCCCTGTTGACATCAGACAGGCGCCCTCCCTTTTGGCTTTCCGTAAGAGCCTAAATACCTGGCTATTTGGAAAGGCATTTAATTGAGTGCTATACAAACGGGCAATGACAAGTGGAACGGAATACGGTCTATGAGATTGGCTATGATCCTATGTGTGACGACGCGGATTAGTTTAGTGTAAATTAGTTTAGTGTGTATTAGTGAATTGCTGATTTTGTTGTGCTTTATTGTATACTGTTTTTATATGTTGTACACCGCCGCGAGTCGCCCTAGGGCTGAGAGCGGCGGTTAACAAATGCAATAAATAAAATAATAAATAAATAACTCCACTAACCACCGATTCCTTCCGCATATTTATTTCCTGTTGGAGGATTCTGAAGCTGGTTTAATAATATAATTACAAATATCAGACACTGTCCCCTCTTTTAATATATTCTAATATATTCTATTTTATACTGGTGATTCCTTCAACTCAAAATATATGGCAATGTACCTGATTATTATTATTATTATTTTGAAATTTCATTTTAAATTCAGAACCGAGACATCATGGTCTTGTTTTGTGATGGGACACTCCTATAGTCCTAAGAGAATACCACATCTGCCCAGGTTCCTTGGACCCTGGGGCCATTTGATTCGCCTTTGTAGTTTTTTTGGTCACGTCTTTTTCACCAGAACTACAATTTTCAAAGTTATATTTTTCTTTTTCATGATGTACCTTTGATCTCTGAAGCTATCATCCATGACATCTTTTTAACTGTTCATATGAGGAGACTGGAATTTTCCATCCACTTTAGCCTCCAAACTGAATCCAAGTTAGTTCTCTCTTGTCCACCTCAGCAGAATCATTTTCTCATGTGATGAACTGTTTCTGTTCTCCATTGGCCATGGCCATTGCCCATCAGAGAGTCTCTCTTTGGTATGCATGTTGCTTTTTTTGTGTGTGGTGGAGCATTGTCTTTTCATTCCTGGGAATCTGAATATGTAAATACTGGTGTGGAGCATATTTTTTTGGCTTGCTAAGAATAGAGAGGAGGCCTCTAAACTCCTTGCCTCCTTCTAGGACATTTGCTGAAGAGATGTGTGTCCAGAAATCACTATCCATTTATAACTCCCCAAATTAACCACTGCAAATCTATTGAGGAAGGAGAAACACAAGAAGACACCTTTGATTGGTAGTGCTGGGTATTTATTCTAAGCCCTTGGTGGCATACTGTCAACATATGAGGGAAACTTGGCACTGCTTTAAAGATGGATAAGATTCTCCTTCTACTTAATGTATTGTGGGACATAAAAGCAGAAGTCTTGGGCATCTGATTGTTGCAATATTCGTAGAGCTGATTCACACATCCTTCATGCTGCAGTGTGGGCAGCAAATGAATTGCATGACTGCCATGACAGCTTTAACTCTGCACACAGAATTTTAATATCAGCTCAGACACAATATATGTCAGTGAGTTCTGTTGACACATTCAAACACTCATCTGGGAAGTATCATGTGATGGACCTGCATGTAGATCTGGCCCCTCACTCTATATTTGATCTTTGCTTTTCTGTTCATCAGCCTTGATTCACCCTTAATTTTGAGGCTGATATAACAAAGTATGGGAAGTACTTATTATGGTTGAGATAAGTGTAGCTGAAATCACATCCAGCCCTATGGAGACTTTAAAAATGATTTCCCCTTTACCCAAAATGTGCAGTATGATCCCTGTAAGTATAGTACCAGTTTCTACTATTTAATTTATTCACATCTTATGGAATATGCTCTCTCCAAAACAGCACTAATGTTATTCTTGGATCAGAAGCCCTTCATTACAAATTTTCATTTTTTAAAAGCAGTCTTCATTTACAAAGGCATCTTTGATATAATGTTTAGCACATTTATAGTCCAAATGCTTTTTTTAAACTTCTCTTTGCTATTCATTTTTTTTTGCTTTTACATGACCTTGTCCAATTTGTTCACAGTATCTTTATTATATTAATGCCATCCTCTGAAAGAAGTATACAAATATTTATTTATTTATTTAAAATGTTGCTATGTGGCAAGAGGTCACTTGAACTTAATAGTTATTCAGTGAGAGACCTTCAAGAGGCCCCATCCTTAACAGGCCTATTCTGACCTTGAACATTCAGAGCTGTTGGCTTCTTTGATTGACTTCAGTCTGCACACAGTATGAACTTCCTTTTTCCTACAGCTTCCCACTTTATTGAGCACTGTTTTATTTTCTACAGAGTCATATTGTTTCATAATATGTCCACAGCATGATAGCCTTGATATAAGCATATTGGCTCCTAATAAAAACTTAGACTTGATTTGCTCTTGGAAACATTATTTGTTTCTCTTAGCAGTCCATTATATCCATCTAATCCACTTCCACACCTTTAACTTTTTTCGTCATTACTTTTGTTTCCTTAATATTCATCTATAACACTGTTTTTTTGCACTTTCTTACCTTTCATCAGCAATTATTGCAAGTCTTTGTTTTTTGTGTTAATAATAAAGTGCCACCTGTATATTTTGAGTTATCAATGTTTCTTCTTCTGAATCATTTTCCATTTGATATGTTCTGTATGCAATTTGAGTTGTTAGGGTAATAAAATGCATCCATGTCTGACTTCTAGGGCAGTTGGAAGCCATTCTATTTCTCCATATGCTGTGTTGTTCTGGTTTTGGCATCTTGTTCACAGTACAAACTATACACCAGTGAAATCTCATTTCTCTTAGAGTCCTCCATTATCCCTTCCTCTATCCTATTTTCTTAGAGATGGACATTAGCTGTTTTTGGAAATGTCACAATTTAGGTGTGCCTTCGTTTCCTTTTTTTTTCTTTCAGGTACCAGCCCTCACTATGGCAATGCATACTCCGGTGATACTGAAACTCTCACAGCTTTGAGCTGGGATGACCTAAATGTACGCAGAGTGTTCATCAGGAAGGTAATGTCTGAGTGTACTACCCACTGAAAACCAACAGAGGTAATACCCTTACTGTGGAAAATATATGATTACAATTATTGTAATAACTACAGGTATATTATTACAACCACTCTTCTTAATATAAGCCCATACACACTTTGGACTTTTTGTTCTTAAACTTCACCACATCTGAAACTGCACACTTAGGCAGACTTCTTATTGGTTAGTCCAGCAGTGTCAAACTCATATTCATGGAGGGCCACATCTGCCTTATGGTTACATTGAAAGAGCTGTTGAATCCATGGAGAGTCCATGGATACAAAGGGCCAACTATACTTTTTTACAAAGTGCTCAGTGTTCTTTAGTTTTTATCTGGCTCGGGTCCCCAGATGTTATTGAATGACCAGTCCCATCACTCTTGATTATCTACCATGTGGACTGGGAATTGCAACCCAACAGCACTTATAACTCAGAGGCTGGGGAAAGGTTAAAAGGCATTTTAAAATCAGGCATCGTAGCCTTGGATCTAAATTCAAACCACACTCTCCTGACTAAACAGAACAGCTGCAGCTTTCTAGATGTTACTATATCATAACTTGCATCAACTCTAGTCATGATGCCTAATGATGAAGAATATAGGAGTTGTAGTCCAGGATCTGGAGGGCCACATATAATGACATGAACCTTGTGGACCTTGAGTTTGACACATATGGGTTAGGCCATGCTAGAGTAAGATCAATGAATTAATAATGGAATGCTGAGCCAATACTCACTTTGGTCAAGTAGAGCTACACTACTTTGACCTCTCTAGATGTACAGGAAGAGGTCTCCTGAATTGTTCTTATACTGCAGTGTTCATTTTCATAATAGATAAGGATAATTATTTGCTGGAAAAAAATTTATAAAAATCTGCCCATCACTCTATGCCAGTTCACAACTTTCCTAATGATCTATCACACTCGGTATAGCCAGAGAAAAGGTTCACAAGCAATGACGCTAGTTGACAAACCGGACTGAAAATTAATATTCAAGAGTTCCATTGAGAAAGGAATTATTTCAAAACGTGTTGGGCTTAATGAATCTGGAGGTTTGATCCCTTTTTTGCCTGACCAATTGATCCTCTTGTGTGTGAATGAAGAAAGAGGCAGAATGGCGATTTGTCCATCAGCCACATCCCTTGCACATTGACATCCACACTACCATGTCTCTTGCCCTAAATGCCGTAGGCTACCCCAATACTGGTTTTTCAGCCACACCTTTGTACTGTATGACCCCTGTGTCTATGGAGGATGTGTTCCAAGACACCCCCTCCTTGCCCCACCCGAAACCACAGAAAATAGTCAACCATATATTTTGACTATCCTTGTATGTAAATCATAGAATCACACTGGATGATTTAGATAGGATCACAAACATTTCAGATTTTTATAGCATGGGTAAATGAAATAATGGATATTGAATCCATTGATACTGTAGCCATACTGTATATAAAGATATAGGCTTTGCGCAAAGGAGTTGAATGCAGAGTCAACAAAGGACACAGCTAGCAAATATATTTGTGTGGTAAGGGTGCAATGGCTGTGATCCTCTAGCTCTTCAGGAGTTGGTGAAACTTTGAGAGCAAAGAAGTTATTCCAACTTCTGGCTTGAATTTTAGTGGCTCAGGTGATACAAGGAGAGCAGTTGCTGGATTCGGGATTTGAGTCTCAGTTATTCTGATGTTGATCCTATCTTCTTGATCTTAGGTTTACAGCATCATTTCACTTCAGCTGTTTGTTACAGTTGCCATTGTTGCTCTCTTCACCTTCTGGTAAGTCTTGGACCTATTAAGAAGTATTTTTCTTTGGAGTTCTTTTCTTTTCTTCTCCGAGTTGCTCTGATGTTAATTCCTGGCAGGAACTCATCTGGAAGTGGCAACATGGACACGAATCACTTCCCTTTGCCTTGTGCTGATGAGGGCAGGGAAAAAAGGATGGCAATCATCCATGTGGGTAGTGGCCCAGTCTTAATCAGAGGTGGTCGTGCTTTCTATACTATTCCCAAAGTGCAGGGCTGCTCTGAAGTTTTTCCTAAACTCTGGAGCATTCAATGAAATGGCCCAGAAGATGCCTTTAAAAAATCAGGACGTGACTAGAAGTAAAAAAAAAATGTGTGTAGTTCATGGGCCGCACTTTGACCACCTCTGTTCTATGCCGTTCAAATACAATTTTCTTAAACAAGCCATTAGGATTCACCAAGAGACTGGCATTCATCTTCCTGTTCCATCCAATAATGTCAGTCTGCTTGCCTGAAGCTCAGATAACAACAGTGATGGAAGCAAAGGGTTACCAGTGTCAACTTGCATGTAGCATCAATAATAAATTGGCACCACTTGAGACCTTTCGGGCCATTTAATCAGCTCTCCCCATAATGATTTCCCTGGTGTAGGATAAAGTGAAGAAATCAATGGCATTAGCTGGATTATTGTGATGCACACTTCATTAATGTTTACAGCCATGTGAAAACTAAGTAGCTTTGCCTCTCTGCCCTGAGCTGTAGCGAGGCTTAAGGCCAACTTCAAAAAGTAATTATTGGTGTTTGCTCTTTAAGTGCATTGTCGTGTCCTTCCCCATATTGGCATCATGATCTATGAATAAGTTGCACAACTAATGTGCTGGATCAACTCTGTATTTAAACTATTTTGAATTGTTTTCATGTGTTTATTTGTTTCATCTCTTTGTCTTTCTTTATTTCAGTGACCCAGTTAAAGGATATGTCCAAGCAAATCCTGGCTGGTATTGGGCTTCCTAGTAAGTGTTGGCCTTATATCAGAAAGCATCTTTATGCCAGTCATCATTTGAATTGGGGCCAAAGTTATGGTATTCGAAATAGGTGAAAGGAAATATTACAGAAGGTGATCTTCGAATATTATGGTCTGTTTTTCTGGTATTATTTCTGTGAGTAAACCCAGCCAAGGGGACTCATGTGGTAATTGTAGTGGCAGCTGAACAAATTTGATAATGTGACCATCACAAAGCCAACTGAGAAAGAGAGAGTGGAATGCTTTTTGGATCAGAGGTGCCCTTACTCTGGATAGAGAAATACTTTAAACACTATTTTCTGCTGAAGGAAAATTAAAAGAAAAATTGTATGTGTATATGCTTTTATGCACAATTTCTTCTTGGCTTTTTTAAGGTGCATAGGTTATTATTATTATTATTATTATTATTATTGTTCTGACACAAAACATGGTATGAGACAGCAAACAAGATATATATACTGGATTTCATATCACAAAATAACAAGTTAAGCACTTCCCAAACGTTTAGGACTGTGTGATGTATTTTTGAATGATGTGCACAGATCCAAGTAAGGTGGCCTTATTATTATTATCATTATTATATTTATACCCCGCTTCATCTTTCTCAAAGTAGAAACCCTCAAAGCAGCTTAACACAAAAGCATTAGCAAACAATTTGAAATATACAAATATGCAATCATTAAAATAGAATTAAATATAAACAGTATTAAGAAATTCACAGTTAAAATCCATTTAACCATATTCACAGTTAAAAACCTCAGCACCCTCTAACTTGATCTTAAACACCTTCATCTTTAAAAGCCTGACTGAATAAAAAGATTGTAGCCTGCCGCCAGAAGGACAACAAGGAGGGGGCCATTCTGGCTTCCCTGGGAAAAAGGAGTTCTAGAGTCGAGGGGCAGCCAATGAGAGAGAAGGTCTTCTCTCTTGTTCCCACCAGAGCTCTGATTTGCTTGCCACATTGGTATGCAGTTGGAACCAGTGTGGGTGAACTCCAAAGATCCACATACTTTCTGTTATGCATGTCAGACTAGTGGGCATAAAATTTCCTCTTCCTAAGCTTCTTAGGAAGCTGAATTTCGGTTTCCATTGACTCTCCATTTTGGCATATACACATCCTTGCCAATGTCTATCCCTAGCTTGTCTAGCCCTAGATGGTTCAGGTCTAGGCTGTTTGACTGACTGCGTCCCCCTTAGCTGAGAAGCAAGATTGTAGCTGAATTCCCTCTTCCAGGAAGCCATGAAGAAGGATGAGTGAAGAGACAGGCTCTAGTGAGAGGTGTAGCTCTGTGACTCATAGCATTGGAAGCCATTTTCTTAGAAAAGAGATCTAGTCATTCTGCAAGATGCAAAGAAGAAGTGAGGGAATGCTAGAGTTTTTGTGTAGGCCTGCCAAAGCAATCAGATGAGGCCAGGCAGCCTTCAGTGTGCAAGAACCATGGTTGCAATTTTAATTTTCAATTTATTTGTCCCATTTGTATACCAACTTCCCCCAGATTGCTACTCACGGTTGCAATTCAACCTACAGTTCCAATCTTCAAAGTTCCTCTTTCCCTCCTAACACTTTCTGTCGCTTCATGTGATGTGAAGTGGAGGTATAAGCTAAATAGACTACAGATGAGCCTTTCAGATCATGGAGGGATTCTAAATCCATGAGTTGAATGCGTTTTGACATTTTACAAAATGGTTGGAATAATACACATGTGAGGGTGGGGTGTGGGGGATTAATGCCAAACAGGACCTAGTTTAGGTTCCCAGCATGTCTTCATCTGCCCCTTCCTTGGAGCCTTTGTTAACAAACAAGTCTAGTCTCCAAGTTGAACCTTACTTTGTTTACTCAGACTGTGGGTACTTGAACTATAGGGAATAGAGGTGAAGCATGTGCGCTCCTCACCATTAACTGTTGTGATCCCTTGCCTAATTCTGTTTTTACATGGCTATGGGAAGGGCAAGATTTGGCTAAAACTGGGAGAAGTTAGGTGTTGGCTAGTGTATGTAACTCTCAATTTCTCCCTTTAATAATTTGCACACTGGGTTGAGATAAAACCATATGAGTAGAGGGATTGCTTTTGGAACAATTCTTTCCAATCCCATATATCTTAGCTCCTGGTCATGATTGTGTTCTAAGACAAAATCCTGGACTCCAGGGATAGATTGGTCTTGCTAAAATCTCTGAAGCCACACTGCTTTTTACTACCTCATCACATGGCCAAAATTGCCATGACAGTTCAACCTCACTTCAGACAAGAAACCTGCCGGATCCCATCACACAGCATAGATCTTCTTCCAGCAGGGCTCTGTGTCTGAAGTGAGGTCGAACTGTCATAAGAGTCATTGCCAGAGGAAAGATGTGAGAAATGAAAAAATAACCATCACAAATCAATCCTACACACAACCGATATGGAACTTATTTCTCTCCAAATGCTAACTTTCCCTCCCAAGCTGTGTGGATTGTTTTTCCCCCCCCATGACCACCAACCTCCCAAAATATTTGTCTGAGAGCGGCGGTCAACAAATGAAGTAAATAAAATAAATAAATAAATAAAATAAAATTTAACAGAGTAGTAGTCTGATTCTTAAGACCCTTAAATATTCTTCAGCAGGTTTTACACCTTGCAAAAAAGTTGAACACTTCAATCACTGCTGTGAAAAGCTGGGGTTATGGCATGTGATAAGTCACAGCTGTGATGGATAGGCGATGTCCATGTGTTTAGCTTGTCATCCAAATTGCACCTGTGGAATTCCCCTTGTTGAAGCATCTTTTAAAATGTGCAGATGCCTTACCCTCCTTTTTTTTCTTTTTAATTAGTCTAATGCTAGATAGGTTTTCCATAGTAGCTGGTTTGACTCCCTAGACTGTCTACATACCACAGCATCTTTGTTGCAAACGTAATTGGAGCCTTGTCTTCTCATTTATCAATCTGTTTCCCCACAAGGCAAAAATTGTCAGGTACAGCAAGCAGCTCGGGGGCATACTTGACAACTGCTTACATTGTGGAAAAATACTTGCAGATTTCTAAAGAGCCTCTGCCATTCCATGTTGAATTTGAAGTTGCTCAGAATTCTCCACTGGGTTCTACTGCTTGGCAGAGCTGATGGTCTTTCTCCACTTCCCCTCATTTTGTTGTATTTGCTCAGAACTACATTATATGAGAAATGTTTGCACTTTCTACTGTGCCTCACAGATGTAAAAGATGGGTCTGGGATTCAGCATGCTGCAAAAGTTGTTATCTTTTGGGATATAACTCCCAGACTCCCAAAATAGCACTTCCAAGCTTAGAATTATAGTTATATGGTCTATTAAGTAATTAATTTGGAGACAGCGAAGTACCCACAACATCCTTCCTCCTTCCTTTTGGACTTTGTCTTGCTTTTATGAAATGGTGGTTCTTAAATTTCTTAATTTCAAGAAGGCTGCTACCCAACAAGCTTTTATGTGGGGACACTACATATCTGCTGCTACTTTGGTATAGAAGTTAAAGAAGGAAGAAGCTATATGTTTGCATTATGCTGTGCCATATGTTAGCCAAAGGCATTCAGTGTCAAACATCTAATTTCTCAGGGGAAATTGGCCTTGTATAATTTCCTCGACTTTTTTTCAAGGTGTATTTATAATGGTTTCATTGGTTTTTATCTTTTTAAAGATGGGACATAAAGAGACAAACAAAAACATCTTGGCCTAGATCCTATTGTTAATCCTAATAGAAGTAAATCCATTGAATTAATGAGATTTTACCTATCACTCAAGAATGGATTGAATGTTGCACTTTGGAATCATAGAATCATAGAATTAGAAGAGACCTCATGGGCCATCCAGTCCAATTCCCTGCCAAGAAGCAGGAATATTGCATTCAAAGCACCCCTGACAGATGGCCATCCAGCCTCTGTTTAAAAGCTTCCAAAGAAGGAGCCTCCACCACACTCTGGGCAGAGAGTTCCACTGCTGAACAGTTCTCACAGTCAGGAAGTTCTTCCTAATGTTCAGATGGAATCTCTTTTCTTGTAGTTTGAAGCCATTGTTCTGCATCCTAGTCTCCAGGGAAGCAGAAAACAAGCTTGCTCCCTCCTCCCTGTGACTTCCTCTCACATATTTATACATGGCTATCATGTCTCCTCCCAGCCTTCTCTTCTTCAGGCTAAACATGCCCACCTCTTTAAACCGCTCGTCATAGGGCTTGTTCTCCAGATACTTGATCATTTTAGTCGTTCTCCTCTGGACACATTCCAGCTTTAGTTGGGACTAAACAATAGAATGCTAGTCAGTAATTCTCCAACTGGTGCCCTCCAGATGATTTGGATAATAACTTCCATCAGCCACACTTAACATGGTGATTAGTCAAGGATGCTGGAAATAGTAGTCCACAAAATTGCTGTTATTTGGACAACTCACAGGACATTTGGACAACTGAGGCAGAAAATAGCTTCCTAACACTGACAGTAAATATTTTACCACTTGAAATACTCACTTCCCTATTTCTTGTCTTCGTGCAATCCCTGTAAAAGGTGAAAAGGCACACAGGAGATTATTCAGAAACTGTGAGTTGTATTTCCTGAGTGTATTTCCTGAGTTCACTTTTGCTTTCTCTGTTTTCCTCCCACAGTGCTGTTTTCTTTGTAACCTACTTGATTTTGGCCTGCTGCTCTGGACCCAGGTCAGTTCATTATATAAAAGATACGTGTTCTCCCTGCAGCTCTTCTTTTTAGGGAAGAAGGTGTCTCATTTGGAAAGGTGGATATTTTCATTCCAGCACATATTTCCCTTCTGCTATCATTCCCTGTTTTTTGTCTCTATTTTCTATTAGAATAACCCTATGGTGTTCAAAGCATTAGAATTCTTTCTCACATAAGCCTTCATTTTATCCTAAATAATTATATAGTTTGTAGGCTGCCTCAATTTTTGTAACGTTGATTCTCTTTTGTGAAGAAAGCACAAGAGAATTGTGTTGTTTCTATAATACAGAGTGTCCTTATTTAACCATCTACAGCTTGAAAATAGTCCAGAAAAAAATCTGAAAAGCAAACGTCGATCCTGTCATTTTATATAAGAAATACCACCTCTCAAATATACCCAAATGGATTAGTATATTAAAATGCTGGTATCCAGTAATCATCAATGTTCATTGTAGCCAAGATTTCTTTGCCATCTCTATCCATCAAAGAAACATTCTTAACCATCTTTCAGATCCAGCGCTGTTGTTAGGATCATCTTGGGCTCAAATCTCAACAGGGCACAATACTGTTACTGGGTTGTTGTAGGTTGTTGTATGGCCATGGTCTAGAGGCATTCTCTCCTGACGTTTCCCCTGCATCTATGGCAAGCATCCTCAGAGGTAGTGAGGTCTTTTGGAACTAGGAAAAAAGGTTTATATATCTGTGGAATGACCAGGGTGAGACAAAGGACTCTTGTCTGCTGGAGCTAGGTGATATATAAGCCCTTTCCACAGATATATAAACCCTTTTTCCTAGTTCCAACAGACCTTATTACCTCTGAGGATGCTTGCCATAGATGCAGGTGACACGTCAGGAGAGAATGCCTCTAGACCATGGCCATACAGCCCGAAAAAACCTACAACAACCCAGTGATTCCGGCCATGAAAGCCTTCAACAATACAATAATGTTATTTGAGAAGTGCAGAAATAGCCAAGGAAAGGCACACAAAGTAAGATGTCAACGTGCCTGAAACTGAAACTTTTAAGATACATACATTTCAACATCACAGTTCACAAGATTGTTCAAAATTATTTGGGTGCTAAAACATTTTCTTTTGTATTTGGAAAGGCAATCAAAGATGGTTTTATTACATACTGCAATTTAAATTTAGCAGAATTAGGTTTTCTGCTTTTCATTTGTTTCTCTACTAGACAATGACAACAAGAAAATGAAGTTAGCAATTTCATTGTGTATGCACACGCAAAATGTTAGCTTTGCCAAGCTTAAAAATAGCCTAGCATGGGTGCTGCCATCCGTTATACAAAAGTGTAGATCAGTCATCACCTGTTCGCTTGCACGCCAACTGCCAAATTGTAAATGGAAAGAGTGCCTCCTGATATCTCTTTCAGGATACTAACAGACAATCAGGAAAGAGAGAGAAAGGCAGTGACCCAAACAGTTTGCATTGTGGGCCATCAGTCTCATTTATGGCTTTGTGTCAGAGGACAGTGCTTCATGGCACTGTTAGGAATGTGTTATAGGTACATGTTGGCTTAGAAAGGAGAGGGAGAACTCTCTTTCACCTGAACCTGATCTTCTGTGTAAATATGCTGGAGCATTTTAGTTTCTCAGTGTCTCGAAGCAATCTTCTAATCGCATTGGAAAGCTTTCCAACTGCCCTCTGGCAATGGCTGTGGTGGTAGCTCTAGCCACAGCTTTAAAAGGTGATAACATTCACTTGCTGAATCCAGTTTGCATTGACACAATGACAAACAGCCAGTCTAAAAAGGTGGCTTAATCCTAATTCACATTGTTTTAGGAAGAGAAGCACTGCTAATCTGATGTTGAAGCATGTTGCGAACTACAGTTACCTTGCAAAATTATTACGTGCCATTTGCCCCACTGCTCTAATGGCTGCACTGTTCTCTAATTACCTTATTACACAATATGACATTATGTAATTTTCCTCTCAGTGATTATGCTCTTTGGATAACAAAACTGACTTGGCTCCCTTTTGCTTAATTCACAGGAGGTACTTCCCATGGAACCTGATCCTCCTGACCATCTTCGTAAGTGGCACACCTGGCATAGCAACTCATGGCTAGTCGATGGGGACTGGATGGGAGGGATGGGGTGGCAGTGCAGCTGAGTAAAGAGCCACACATTCATTTGTTCATCTTCCACTTTTCTGCCATGCGTAGCTTGCAAAGAAATAAAACCAATCCAATTCAAACTTGTACGAAACCAAGCAGTTTTCAAAGGCTATTCACGATTATTTTCTGAAAAGTTCTCATATCGTTGTTTTGTGCAAAAAACAGTATTTTCTGAGTGAAAAATAATATTGTAATGCAAAGATATGAATTCATATTCTGAAAATAAACTGAGTGTGTGTTTTATGTGAAATGAGTCCCCTATAACAGCATTTTCTATGCAGAAAACAGCATTCTCTGCACATGAATTGAAATGTCTGCAGCAAAATAGTATTTCCAGAGAGAAAATGCTTTTTCCTGTACATAAAGTGCTGTTTTCTCTGCAAAACAACTACATGTGTACAAAAAATGTTCTCATTAGCCCAGGATTTTTTCCATTGGGTTTCTCAACACTTTAAAAACATGTTGGCCATTTGACAAATATTTTAAAAATATTTTCTCCTTCTCTATTTCTCTGACATAAAGAATTCAGTTTTTCTTGACTTAAGTGACAAAGGGTGTGTTAACACCTTAAGATACCATGTACGTCTTTCCCCCAATTTTGCCCATTTCAGTGAGGGTGTTTTTGTGCACGTAGTAGGTAAACCTGATAGGCTTGCCCTGAAGGAACATTTATGGAATTCACAAAAGATGTATATACAGTATTGGTGAGAAATTGCATCCTAACACATTACAGTGTGTTGGATATTTTCCAATAATTTCTCTTGGTGAAATGGAGACATCTTTGCATGGTATAGAGAAGTTCAGTGATTCTGCACAGCAAGGTAGCTACACAAAATATAACAATTTTTGTGCAAAGAAAAATAATGTGTTAAATGTTTTAATGCAAACTGACAATTTCTCAAATAGTTCTGAAACACACAGCCACACATTAAAAATGTACACCAATCCTTATAATATGACCCAGCAGAGAAACCAGTTTTAAATTTATCATATCGGCAGATAAATAAGTGACATTTTATTTCACAATATTTAGCTTATATTAGATGCAAGTGTTGTTCTCAGAATGCATAGCAAAAAGGCCACAGAAGGGATCTCCTGTTTTATCCAAGATGCCTGGAAAAAGGGTGGATACCTGTAGGATGGAGGGTCATTTTCATCCAGGCTATTCTGTTTGGTTTTCATTCTTTATTATATCAGGCAGAGTGCTGTTTTATGACACTCTATTTCTTTCATGCCACATGCCAGTTTTTTAGTCTAAAACAAAGGGAAGAACTTGAAGAGGAAGTGCAATTGTATAATTTCACATAAAGTCTGTAGAAATTTACTGTTAAAGGCAATATATCTCCATATGAATACTTCTGTATATTGGATAAGGGCACATCTGCACAATACAGGAGCCATAAGTCCCAATATAGAATAGCAGTCTTTTATTATGATAGCATGCCCAAGGAACTCATTGAACTTGTTTTTACAGCCACAGGTAAATAGTGAAAAACAGGTTGTCTGTTAACATGGCATTGTAACCTGATCATGGAAGATTCAGACATAATTATAGTCAGCCCTCCACATTCCCTGGGGTGCAGGGCACAGGATCCGCATGAAAGTGAAAAATCACAAAGAATAAAATTTCATTTTTTAACCTGAAGGGACACCTCTCTATGAATTTGTAGGGCTTTCAGCAAAACTCTATAGTCAATTTCTGCTCAAAACACAGTGGAAGACCTAGAGTGTCCCAGAGATGTATTCTTTTAGAAATTCCTTATCCTTCCAATATGAGACAAAGTTGCATCTCTGAAACTGCGTAGTAATGAGGAGCTTCCATTTTATTCTAGACTTAAAGACCATACATGGGAGTGTGGGTTGCATATGAGGTACAGGGAGTTAATTTTTTCATTCTTATTTGAGACACATCTTTAAAATGTCCACTGCATCACTAGGCGCTTCCAGACAGTGCCAAAATCTATGTCAAAGTGGGTTTAAGAAACCTGTTTTGTCACGGATTCCCATCCCACTCTCCCTTAAAAACCCTGGGCTTCCCCAGGAGGTGTTTACATACCATCCCGGTAACTACTGGGATGTCATACAGCCACTCAGAAGCCCCCCAAAACAACCCTTAAAACTAAAAAAAAAAAAAACCTCACCAGGCCACCATTAAGAGTGGGAGGGGGTCTTTCAGGAAGGCCAAGATCTAATGGAGGTATTACAGTAATTTGGAATAACTGAGGTTTGGACACCCCGGTATAAAACCAAATAGGTCCTTGGATATGGACCTGTCTGGATGGGCCACAGTTCTTCTAAAATTGCATTGGTTCCCATGGACCTTAAGACACTGAGAAATAAATGTGGGGCCTAGGAAATGCACTTGGGCCAGACCCTCATGGGACCAGACCTAACAAATGTTCTTTGGTATGTTTTGTGCCTTAGCAGCTGGCTCCAGCATCTAAAATAAATTATTCTTTTAATGTCTCCATAGACTCTCTCCATGGCCTATATGACTGGGATGCTTGCCAGGTAGGCTACTGATGGAAGAAGCCTGAATGGTTGTTGCTCTGTCTGTGTTTGAAAGAGAGAGGTATAACTCTTCAGTATTTCTCTTTGATAGGTCTTCACTGATCATTTTTCTGAATGATAGAACTTGTTCCTCTTTTCTGTCTTCCTTTAGAGAAGTAAGAGAAAAGAGATCTGTCAAAATGCAAGGCTTTGCATGTAACTGCACTGTGCAGTTGTAGAAGTTTGCTATCAGTTTGATTGCCTTGGCTCCCTTCTATGAAATTGTGAGATTTGTAGTTTGGTGAGATGCATAAGTACATGGCCCGCAGAACAACTTGTATTTCCTTGTTCCCTGATTTCCCCCCCTTTAACCTACCTAAAGACATCTGCAAAGCTGTTTCCTCCCCAAAGGAATCTTTGTAGCATCAATAAACATACTTCTATCAAATAAAAGGAGTGATACTTTTTTTTAAAAAAAATCCTCTTTTTCAAATCAGTCTATTTCTGTACCATATAAAGGATAATACAAGAATAGATTAGTGTTGAAATCAAGTGACTTAGAATTGTTTACGGTCTGTTGAGATCATGTACCCACAGGACAGCCTATTTTTCAGTGAAGCCCAGAAAACCAATTTCCTGTTACTAGTTCTCTAAAAAGATAAGACTAGGGAATGACACTAATGTTATCTGTATAAACTCCCATTTGTAATCCATAATAATGGCAGTTACCATACCATTAGTGTCAAAAGAGTTAAGATTAATCCAATTTCAGATGAATTCAGAATATTAGAGTAGGCTATTTTTTTATTATTCTGAAGCTCTTTGATTCTAAGGCCCTTCTACACTGCCATATAATCCAAATTATCAAAGCAGATAATCCACATTATCTGCTCTGAACTGGATTATCTGAGTCTACACTGCCATATAATCCAGTTCAAAGCAACTACTGTTTTGCTTTACAAATGAGTAAATAAAACCAGGTACCAACCGAACCATTTGGTTTTTGTTATTTGATATAATACATACATACATACATACATACATATATATATATATATATATATATTCTGCCTTAGATCCATGATTCTTAGGACAGTATCTATTGAACTTGTTTCCGTAGCCATGTGGCCTACAAATTTGCTTTTGTTGTAATTTAAAAAAAGAAAACAGGCATGTTCTTAATATAGAATCCTGTATCTTATACATAGCAGACCTGTGCAGATGGACAGTTCAGGATTGCAGAACGTTTGGACAAAAATGATTATAATCAGATATCTGTGTAAGGCAGAGCTTTGACAGCAGTCCAGATTGCACTTGCAAACAATGAGAGCCCTGTTTCCGTTGCAAGCATTCACAGAAGGAATTGGTATTTGGGCACTAAATGCAAGCCACATCAATCAAATTTGTAGGCTCCAAATTTGACTGATGTAAATGGCATGGAGAGGGACAATGTTACCAGGATGACATTTCCATCTCTAGCTTGAAGGAATTGCTGTTTTGGAACTGTAACTCAGCATCCCATTTTGTGCACCACATCCAATGCACTTATAGTAGCTACATGTTTTCATCCCCTGTGCTGGCAGGACTGAAGACCGACAGGTCGCAGGTTCAAATCCGGGGAGAGGCAGATGAGCTCCCTCTATCAGCTCCAGCTCCTCATGCGGGGACATGAGAGAAGCCTCCCACAAAGATGATAAAAACATCAAAATCATCCAGGCGTCCCCTGGACAACGTCCTTGCAGACGGCCAATTCTCTTACACCAGAAGCGACTTGCAGTTTCTCAAGTCGCTCCTGACACGACAAAAAAAAATCCCAGAAAGAAAAAAAGGAAGGAAGGAAGGAAGGAAGGCTGGCTAATATAAGGGATATCTGCAAATTTTCTTATTCTCAAGTGGAAGTATAGACCTCCCACCCAGCCCACATAAAAACCCTTCAAAGCCTCAAAATCCCATGTCAACTGCTACAAGATTATCTGCCCCTGCATTGTTTTTTGCACAATAAATGGGGTGGGGGGAGGGAGGGGGAGTGAATTTAATGTAGTCTTGCTCAAGAGAGAGAACACTTGCAACTATTCTCCTATGAGAGAATCAATGTAGTAAATATTTACACTCCAAAAAGGGAGCATTTTTTTAAAAAAAGCAGTGTTTCCAAGTTCTGCTTCTTTTGAATTCTCCTTACGATTCAGTTTTTATGCAACTCTGCCTCTGTTGATGCTATTTATAATCTCATGTATGAAAGCATCATGGATTCTCATTGTTCCATGTGTATCAGATGGCTCGCCAGTGGTGATGGTGGTGGTAGGACAAAAATAAACAAGTGTGGCAGGCAGAGCAGCAAACAAAAGACATTGCTCATTCACTGAAACTGAACAGAGAACAGTTAATACGAATGACCTGGCAGCAGCAAACGTTTGCTGTTGTTGCCAAAGAAAGGAAACAGAAGCAAATGCATATTTGGACCGCAATCCTAAATTCATTTATTTGGAATGATAAAATAATGCAGATTTGTTTCTACACAAACATATTAATGGTCACAGTATCTGAGCATGCCCTAGAAATCCACCATGGTATAGTGCTTTGAGTGCTGAACTAGGTATCTAGGGAGACCAGGGTAAAAATCTCTCCTTGGCCATAGAAAGTCATTGAGTGACTGTGGGACATTCTCTTGGCAAAAGAGAAACAAAATGGGAAACCTGCTTTGAATAAATATTGCAAAGAAAACTCTGCAGTAGGTTCACTTTAGAATCACCAAAAACTGGAAATGATTGGAAGGCAGCAGCAACAGCAACAACAGAGTATGATGTAAGCATCATAATAAGGCATTTAAAAAATTCCCATTCCCCATTCAGTGGTTCACAAATTGAACTTCCTCCATTCATACAAATCCCAAAATTGAGTGTCAAAAATGATTTTTGAAAAAATAGAGTTGACAATGCATTAATATACATATTTCTAATCCATGTGTCAAATAGCCTCTGATTTGAATTTGTGTTATTGGTTCATTGATTAAATGGTATGTATTCATTTGTGCTCATTGGGTGTTCAAAAGCTAGAACTGACTGTGCTTTCAGACACACAACTATTATTGAGAGGGAAATACCTTACATCTTATTAACCATTTGGTTGGATCTCAGCCAGAACATTTTGCCACATGCTTATTGTGGGATTTTAAGGAGAGGCATGTCCTTCAAGAGAGCGCAACTATGCAGTAGAATATAGTGTGGGAGTGCTACTGTTCAGAATTTAATACCATTTCATTTAGACCCCACCCAAATTCTGCTCCAAACTGTCAATCATTCTGTACCTAGCATACCTAGTTCTTTTCAGGCAGCTTGGTGATGTTCCTGCCCTATACTGTATTTTAAGATTTTTTTCCCTCTTACAGTGTGATGAGTGTAAGAGACAGAATAGAGCTCTCAAACAGCAAGGCAGAAGCTTTGATCCAGTCAACTGCCAATAGAGTTAGCCTCTGCACATGAAATAGAGGGGCACCATCTTGTCTTTTGTCTCAATCAGTCTTCAGTAGGTCTTAAGGAAGGTTGGAGAAAGTTGAGCTCTCCATAGAGGCTGGTTGGAAAATAGGCATGGAGAGATGGTGCTGTCATTCCCTTCCATGGTGTGCATAGGAGCAGCCATTAGATATTTAGCCTCACACCTACACATCTTTGGTTGTCTAAAACATACCATTTGGACATTATTATCCTCTTCAGCAGACATTCTTGAATTCTCCCTTTGTATTTGACCCTGTGATAGAAATAAATCAATTGAATTTCATTTTTTTCTCATGCAGCTACTATGACACCAAGTCCATCCTCCTCTGCCTGATGATCACAGCATTGGTGTGCATCTCTGTCACCATATTCAGCTTCCAGACCAAGGTGAGTGTATATTAGGCATGTGCAATCTGGGTAAAGAACAACACATTTAATTGTCCCAGATTTTTGTGGGGGCCCCAATCTGTTTTTTTGGGAGCCTCCTGAATTCAGGAGAACAGAAATCTGTTTTCAATCCGGAAATCCAAAATATTTGTTTTCTATCCGGCCCATTGGTATCATTAAGGGGGGAGGGGCTTCCCAGGCTCTCCTTCCTGTCATTTTAGGCATTGTTAGTCCTTATATCCTTCATTAAGACCTGAATTAAAAGTATCTGAGTTAAGATACCACCTTTTTTGCAATCCTTTCCCTTCTGGCTGTAGAGGACATCTGGGTTTAAAGAAAGGGCTTAAGAAACCTCGCCTCCTAGGATCCTTTTCTTTTGGTCTGTAGAGTAGACCTAGGTTTAAAGAAAGGGCTTAAAATACCTTGCTTCTTGTGATCCTTTCCCTTCAGTCTGTAGAGTAGATCTGGATTTAAAGAAAGGGCTTAAGAAACCTCACTTCTTGCGATCTTTTCCCTTTGTTCTGTAGAGTAGACCTGGGTTTAAAGAAAGGGCTTAAGAAACCTCACTTCCTAGAATTCTTTCCAGTATTCTGTTGTGGATGATTTTAAAAAATAGTGGTGGAGCCCATGCTGTTATGGACTTCTGAATCAGCCAAAACAACTAAACAAACCAAAGGAAGATGTCCATAATGAATCTGTGCACAAACCTAGTGTATATGTCTGCACAGTCTTACTTCCCCATTTCCAGGAGCCAACACTCAATTTATACATTATTGGTTTTGTTGAAGTTCTTGGAGAGGTTTAAATAGAAAAATGTGGCTTTCAAATCCGAGTTAATACCATCTTGGCAAACATGGCTTCACACACATTTGTTTCTGCATTTGGATGATAGAACAGGCTGCCTCACCAGTGTCTCCTGGCTGATGCAGTGTCTGACTGTCTTAGAGAAAAAGCTAAACCTGGAAGTACCTCTGACCACCACCCAATTTACTATAGGTCAGATAATTATCGCATAAGACAGAATTATTTCCCAGTCATTTGACTTGACAGGGTCATTGGAGCAATTTTCAGATGGATGGCAGAACAAAATACATTTCTGCTGAATTTATGGTCAGAGACTTTCTTTGCAGGCCTGATGACTTTTCTGATAGTAACAGTCAATCCTCCCCATATTTGTGGATTCTTTGTCCATGGATCCCACGACCCACAACCGGAAAAAATATTTTTAAAATATCTTGATTTTGCCATTTTATATAAGAGATGATATTTCATTACACCATTGTATATAATGGGACCTGAGCATTCAGATTGTGGTATTCACAGGGGGAACACATTCCAATTAGCATGAAAGGCCTAGAAATATGAGAAAAATGTGAAATGGTAACATAACATTGTTAAAAGGAAATTTCTGGGTAACTCGAGATATCCTTTGCCTTCCTATATGCATCTAATTTCCCAACAAAGTTTTCTATACACAGATGGCAGAGGCAAGTGCTGCTACGAGCCAGGCCCCATTTTGGAAGGTTCTGAGCATGGATTCACTGTTTGAATCAATGCTATCTCAGCACTAGTGTTGAAGTGCATAAAGTATCATTGCTGTTTTTCATGGCTGACAGGCATTTTAGGCAAAATAGGTGGAGGATCTTGAGTTCTTGTTCCTAATCTAAAGTTAAAGTTGAATGTGGCAGTGTCTGTGTCTGAAAAGGTATGCATTCAAAAACATCATGAAGTAGGGCACAATGGAAGAAGAATGAGTTCACAAATGAATAGTAGATTAAATAACAGATTTCTAACAAAATTCACATTTCTGTCCTGTGTAAGCACTTTGTACATTTTGCATGATGTGTTGAAGATTTATCTCTCTGTTATACATTGACATAATTATGACCTGTTTTTTTCTTCTCCACAGTATGACTTCACCTCTTGCCAGGGGATCCTCTTTGTGATGATGATGGTACTATTCTTTAGTGGGATTATCCTGGCTATTATGCTTCCATTCAAATATGTAAGAATCTTATTTTATTTCTGCCAATAGAATCATCACTTGTATATCAGTGAAATGGCGGGGAGGGGATAATGTGTGCCACCTTGGCTGCAATCTACTAGAGTTGTAAACACAGGCCTAAAGAATACATCTTTCTATCTTCTCCTTTCCTGCAGTCCCTCACAACCTAGCCCTTAAAACGAAACAAGGACTAGGTTAACTATGGAAAGATGTTTGTAGAGCAAAGGCAGCTCTACAACACCAGAGAGGGAGACAAAGATTTCCTCTTCCGTGGTTACGTGCCAGTTTTATCTTGATGAAAGATGTAAGCCTGGATCTAATGAAGAACTTCTGTTGGTTTCAGTTGCTTTTATGGGGCAAGGGTTGCAGCCCTCCCTTGCCCATAAAAGCTTGCTCTGAAGGAGAGCTTCAGGAGTTCTGTTTTCACTGGGAGATGCAGCATGAGTAAATCCCAATTCTGTTGTTTGGCTCTCTCATTCATTCTTGTTTGGCTGAAGCTCACTGAGGAAGAAACTCCTGGTTTTAGGGATATTTATACTGGGTGCACTGCTGAATCTAGGCCCCAATTCTCAGTTGGATTCTGGGAAGCAGCAGAGATGCACTAGTGATCACAAGAGAGAGAGAGAGAGAGAGAGAGAGAGACGTCAACACTGACAATGCTGCTTTGCATCCTCTTGATGGTTGAGGAAGAGCTTTGTACTTTCACATCAAAAGACTTTGTGCTATGAAGTCATGTTATCTTTAGAAAAAAGGGTCCAAATAACGATGAACAGTAGCCATCAACTGTTATGGTTATGTATATTTTTTCAAATAAAATAATAATAATAATAATAATAATAATAATAATGGTAACGATAATGATATAATAAAAAATAGTACTCCATAAAGGAATTAAGAGGTTGAATTCAGGCACCAAGCTGGGGGAAAGTGAAATAATATAATAATAATATGCTTTATTTATATTCCGCTCTATCTCCCCGAGGGGGCTCAGAGTGGATTACAGAACACATATATGGCAAACATTCAATGCGGTTATATAATTAACAACAAAGCCAGTGCCAACCTCTCCAGCTAAGGAAGAAGGAAGAAAGGTGCATCTACACTGTAGAATTAATGCTCTTTGACACCACTTTAACTGCCATGGCTCAATGCTAAGGAATCATGGGAGCTGTGGTTTCATCTGGCAAAGACTGCTGTTATCTCACCAAACTACACCTCCCAGGATTCCATAGCATTGAGCCCTGGCAGTTAAAGTGATGTCAATCTGCATTATTTCTACTGTGTAGATGTTCCCTAAGATGTGGAAACAGGAGCAAAGGACATTAAGAGAAGGATTAAAAAGTTATACAGTGTGCATAGTTGGAAAAGAACAAAGAGAGAAGAGAACAATTCAGTGTGATGGAAGCTTTTCCCCAACTTGGTGCCATCCAAATATATTAGATTAGAATTGATATATTCCTAGATAGGATAATTATGGAATGATGGGAGTTGCAGACAAAACCCATTTGGAGAGAGAAACTGCCCGACATTTATAAAGGCTGTTTATAAAACTTTATTTCAGTTATCAGTATCATCACTCAGGTCTAGTCACCAGACACAACCAATCATCTGAAGGGAGTGGTTCAGGCAGATCACACATCTGAGCACCTTCCAAATTAGGATGATGGGGAAACACCATGTATAGGAATCTGAATATGTCATTGAGAAGGCAATCCTTCTCCAAAATGGCCAGTTTCTTATATTTCAAGGATTACTTTGCAATCTTAGTCATGTTATCCACAAGTGAAATAAGCAGGAACAAGTTTTGCTACTTGAATTATGTTGGCCCTCTGACCCCAAAATACCCCGATAATAAACACCAACAGGTCACATATTGCCCTTGTGATTTTCCCCTTAAGAGTGTAGTAACAACCAGATAGCTATTCAACATCTGACCCAGGTGAATACGTGCTTCCATTCCCCTATGCCCAGCCCAATAATGCACAAACAAGATGTTATCAAGTTATGTATGAAATGTATAACAAACTCCTTTCATACCTTTATCTTAAATATTAACAGAGGAAAGAAGGGAGGGGGGAGAGTAGTTATGCCTAGATTTCTGAAGTAGCCTTGCCTGAGAAGAATTGTCTGGTCTTCCTGGTTGTTGTTGCCGTTTTGGTTGTGTGCCTTCAAGTTATTTCTGATTTATGGAGAACCTACCATAGGTTTTTTTCCACCACAATTTGTTTGGGATGTGGGTTGTCATTGATTTTCTCTGAGGCTATGAAGATGTGGCTTGCCCAAGGTCACCCAGTGAGTTTCCATGGCCAAGTGGGGATTTGAACCCTAGTCATAAAATGGATTTACACTGCCAAATAATCCAGTTTCAGAATGCAGATTAACAGCATTTAACTGGATTATATGGCAGTGTGGACTCATATAATCCACTTCAATACAGTTAATCTGCATTCTGAAACTGGATTATATGGCAGTGTAGTTCCAGCCGAAGTCTAATACTCAACCACTGCACCACTCTGGTTCTCAGTCTCTGTCAATATGTTAATCTGTTATTATGTGTTACTACTATGCTACTCTATTACTGTGTGTGTGCTGGGCAGATATATCCACCTCCCTTTCCTTCTGTTTTATTGAGGATCCTATCTTATATTTTCCCATATAGGTGCCATGGCTCCATGCTGTTTATGCTGTGCTGGGAGCTATTGTATTTACTATGGTAAGTAAACTCAAACTCATCTTTACACCTTATCCCGATGAACAGGAAGAATTCCTAAAATATTAGCATCTCCATTGTAGACTCCGCAGTTGGTACTAGCAGTGGACCTGACCCATGATGTTTTGCTGTTTGAGACTAAGGGCCTTTCCACACAGCCCTGTATCCCAGAATATAAAGGCAGAAAATGCCACAATATCTGCTTCGAACTGGGTGATCTGAGTCCACACTTAGATAATGTGGGATTTTCTGCCTTGATTTTCTGGGATATAGGGCTGTGTGGAAGGACCCCAAGAGTAAGATGCCCTCTCCCCTTCCATCAACAAAAGCAGACAGCAGTGGCAGTTGAATCTTATTTCATTGATGACATCTTTTTTTTTTCTCGTGTCAGGACATCTAAAAGAAGGGAACTATCTTGGGGTGAAGATAGCCTCCTATCTCTAACACCTTGCTGCTACCTCCTGCAATCCGCTACTTGAAATGACTCCCTCTTTCAGCCAAATGGCAGTCTGGCCCCTGAGTTGCAAGACCTCCTTTTTTTATTTTATGGATTGGTAGTCGTGCAGTCCAGTGTGAAATATTTGTGTTTCCATCTGATCTTGCTGCTTAGATTCATTCAAAGAGCCCTTCCACACAGTCCTATATCCCAGTATATCAAGGCAGAAAATCCCACATTATCTAAGTGTGGACTCAGATCACCCAGTTCAAAGCAGATATTGTGGGATTTTCTGCCTTGATATTCTGGGATATAGGGCTGTGTGGAAGGGCCTTTTTAGCCACAACAGTAAATTCTGCAGTTCCCAGCAGAATGGGTCAATCACATTATTTTGTCCCCAAAGTCAGAATAACCAGGGTGTCAGTATTGAATATGGAAGACTGAATTAACCTGCCTACCTTCCTTCTACCTTCCCTCCCCTGAACCAGGAGTATAGCTGTGAGGTAGGAAAAGTGAGAGATCAAAATGATGGCATGGTCCCCAAATAATAATTCTGTTGTTGTTGTTGTTCATTCGTTCAGTCGTCTCCGACTCTTCGTGACTTCATGGACCAGCCCACGCCAGAGCTCCCTGTCGGCCGTTACCACCCCCAGCTCCCTCAAGGTCAGTCCAGTCACTTCAAGGATGCCATCCATCCATCTTGCCCTTGGTCGGCCCCTCTTCCTTTTGCCTTCCACTTTCCCCAGCATAATTGTCTTCTCTAGGCTTTCCTGTCTCCTCATGATGTGGCCAAAGTACTTCACCTTTGTCTCTAGTATCTTTCCCTCCAGTGAGCAGTCGGGCTTTATTTCCTGGAGGATGGACTGGTTGGATCTTCTCGCAGTCCAAGGCACTCTCAGAACTTTCCTCCAACACGACAGCTCAAAAGCATCGATCTTCCTTCGCTCAGCCTTCCCTAAGGTCCAGCTCTCACATCCGTAGGTTACTACAGGGAATACCATGGCTTTGACTAGGCGGATCTTTGTTGCCAGTGTGATGTCTCTACTCTTCACTATTTTATCGAGATTGGACATTGCTCTCCTCCCAAAAAGTAAGCATCTCCTGATTTCCTGGCTTCAGTCTGCATCTGCAGTAATCTTTGCACCTAGCTAAATAATACCTCCAAACATTTTACTATATTTTCCAGTTGTCAATCATTCTTGTTGCCATAATCTTGGTTTTTTTGATGTTTAGCTGCAACCCGGCTTTTGCGCTTTCTTCTTTCACCTTGATTAGAAGGCTCCTCAGCTCCTCCTCGCTTTCGGCCATCAGTGGTGTCATCTGCATATCTGAGGTTGTTAATGTTTCTTCCAGCAATTTTCACCCCAGCCTTGCATTCATCCAGCCCCGCACATCGCATGATGTGTTCTGCATACAAGTTAAAAAGGTTGGGTGAGAGTATGCAGCCTTGCCGTACGCCTTTCCCAATCTTGAACCAGTCTGTTGTTCCATGGTCAGTTCTTACTGTTGCTACTTGGTCCTTGTACAGATTCCTCAGGAGAGAGACAAGGTCGCTTGGGATGCCCATCCCACAAGAACTTGCCACAATTTATTATGATCCACACAGTCAAAGGCTTTAGAATAGTCAATATGAAGCAGAAGTAGATGTTTTTCTGAAACTCCCTGCCTTTCTCCATTATCCAGCGGATATTGGCAATCTGGTCTCTCGTTCCTCTGCCTTTTCTAAACCCAGCTTGAAGATCTGGCAACTCTCGCTCCATGTATTGCTGGAGTCTTCCTTGCAGGATCTTGAGCATTACCTTACTGGCATGAGAAATAAGGGCCACTGTACGGAAGTTTGAGCAGTCTTTCGCATTTCCCTTTTTTGGTATGGGGATATAAGTTGATTTTTTCCAGTCTGATGGCCATTCTTGTGTTTTCCATATTTGCTGGCAAATGGCATGCATCACCTTGACAGCATCATCTTTTAAGATTTTAAACAGTTCACTGGGATCCCGTCGTCTCCTGCTGCCTTGTTGTTAGCAATGCTTCTTAAGGCCCATTCAACCTCACTCCTCAGGATGTCTGGTTCTAATTCATTCACCACACCGTCAAAACTATCCTCAATATTATTATCCTTCCTATACAGATCTTCTGTATAGTCTCGCCACCTTCTCTTGATCTCTTCAGCTTCTGTTAGGTCCCTGCCATCTTTGTTTCTTATCATACCAATTTTTGCCTGAAATTTACCTCCAATGTTTCTAATTTTCTGGAAGAGGTCTCTTGTCCTTCCTATTCTGTTGTCTTCTTCCACTTCCATGCATTGCTTGTTTAAAAATAGTTCCTTATCTCTTCTGCTAACCTCTGGAATTGCGCATTTAACTGGGCATATCTCCCCTTATCACTGTTTCCTTTTGCTTTCCTCCTTTCTTGGGCTACTTCCAGTGTCTCAGCAGACAACCATTTTGCCTTCTTGGTTTTCTTTTTCTTTGGAACGTACTTTGTTGCCGCCTCCTGAACAATGTCGCGGACTTCTGTCCATAGTTCTTCTGGGACTCTGTTTACTAAATCTAGTCCTTCAAATCTGTTCTTCACTTCCACTGTATATTCGCTAGGAATGTTAGTGAGATCATATCTAACTGGTCTGTGTATTTTCCCTGATCTCTTTAGTTTTATTCTAAATTTAGCAATAAGAAGTTCATGATCTGAGCTACAGTCAGCCCCAGGTCTTGTTTTCACCGACTGGATGGATGTCCGCCACCTTTGGCTGCAAAGGATGTAGTCAATCTGATTTCGGTGTTGACCATCTGGTGAGGTCCATGTATAAAGCCATCTTTTAGGTTGTTGGAAGAGAGTGTTTGTTATACACAGCGAGTTTTCCTGGCAAAATTCTATCAGCCTGCGTCCCGCTTCTTTTTGTTCTCCCAGACCATGCTTGCCTGTGATCCCAGTTGTCATTTGACTTCCCACCTTGGCATTCCAGTCTCCTGTAATGAAAATAATGTCTCTTTTTGGTGTATTATCCAGTAGGTCCTGCAGATCCTCATAGAACTGATCTACTTCTTCTTCTTCAGCAGCTGTGGTTGGGGCGTATATTTGGATCACTGTGATGTTGAAAGGCTTTCCTTGCACTCGAACTGAGATCATTCTGTCATTTTTTGGGTTGTATCCAAGCACCGCTTTAGCGAATTTCTTATTAATTATGAAGGCTACTCCATTTCTTTGATGTTCCTCTTGTCCGCAGTAGTAGATCTGGTGGTCATCTGATGTGAAGTGGCCCATTCCAGTCCATTTCAGTTCGCTGACCCCCCGAATGTCTATCTTTAGTCTTGACATCTCACCAATAACAACATCCAATTTGCCCTGGCTCATAGATCTTACATTCCAGGTTCCTATGGTGTGTTGATCTTTAGAGCATCGGATTCGTCGTTCACCTCCAGTCCCGTCGGCCGCTAGCCTTCCTTTCGGCTTTGAGCTAGCTGCGTCATCACATCTGGGGCTAGTTGAACTTATCCTCTGCTCCTCCCCAGTAGCATTTTGGCCATCTTCCGACCTGGGAGTCACATCTTCCAATGGCATACCGACATATCTCTGGTTGTACTGGTCCATTTAGTTTTCTTGGCAAGGATACTGGAGTGGTTTGCCATTGCCTTCCCCAGGATTCACGCTTGGTCTGACCTCTCTGCCACAACCGTCCCTTCTTGGGTGGCCCTTCACGGTTTCGCTCATGACATCATTGAGGTGCTCAAGCTCCAGCGCCCCGACAAGGCGGTGATCCTTTGCTGGAGAATAATAATTCTGCGAACTCAAATATGTTTTTTTTAATAACAATAATAATAATAATTCTGCGAACTCAAATATGTTTTTTTTTCATTAGTTGCCAAATTTCTAGTATTTCAGAGGATGAGATGATTGAAAGTCCTTCGTACCTAGAACACTGATATTTGCTGTACAAAGCACCCATGATATCCAACAGGGTTCAGTTCCAGAACCCCAGTAGATTTCAAAATCCATGGATACTCAAGTCCTACTATATATATATATATATATATATATATATATATATATATATATATATATGATAGCATCAAAGTTTGGTATTTGCATTCCTGTCTTAATTTTGTTTGCCTACTGACATCTTTGGATGTCACTGAGATAAATGCTGGGTTTTTTTTTCGTTCCTAACCTTGAAATATAAATTGCTTTGCTGCTATAAAAACTATGCTGTTCATTTCTTGATCTCCATATCAGAATATAATTTAAAGGTTATGTGTATGTCTAAAATTATTTTCTTAAAATTAAAACCAGATCAATACAAATAATACATTTCAACCAAAAAGAAACCACTGCAGGGCACAGTAATTTACCATATCTCAAAGAGCATTTTAGAAATTTACATTAACAACATATATCTGAAATAATCAGTGTCTTTTTAAATAGGGGTGGTGGTATTCATAACTCCCAACTATCTGTTTTAATTTGATTGTTTACTTGAATTTGTTTATTTATCACTCAGCCCAGTCTCAGTGTTAAATCTTAAGACAAAGGGCAACTAGAGGCTAAGGAAATTTTCCATTGGCTATGTTGCATGGAAAAATTCAAATTCTTTTCTCTACTCATCTCTAGATTCATGAACGTGAAGTTGTCAGCCTTCCAATGAGCAATAAAACTAAATTTATGCTTTTATTGTGAATGAGAAGATAATTCAATGACCTAGTTTTAGTGTAGAGCTGGTCACAGCAATAACCCCATTTCATTTGTTATTGAGCATGTTGAGTCCACGAGGAAGAAGAGCAATATATCACACCAGTTCCAGTTTCTAGATTCATCACTGCCCTGGAATGTGACAGGTCTCAACAGGAGAGCTTTTTCGACTTTGAACATGCTTCATGTCATTGGGGACCCTGACTTTGGGGGGGGGGGGGTTAATATAAAGAGCATAAGGAAGCTTCATCTGTTCAGTTTCATTGCTCTCCATTTGAACAGGGCTAGGTTGCTCCCTTCTTGGCCTTCCACATAATACGTATTTAAGGCCATGGTTCTCAACCTGTGGGTTCTCAGATGTTTTGGCCTTCAACTCCCAGAAATCCCAACAGCTGGTAAACTGGCTGGGATTTCTGGAAGTTGTAGGCCAAAACACCTGGGGACCCACAGGTTGAGAACCACTGATTTAGGGCCAAAAGAAGCTATGTATCTTGCTTCCATCTTCCTAGCAATTTAAACAATTTCAAAATCACCACCCTGTGCCTTTCCTTGCCATGATGATGATAGGTTGTGTTACACATAATTGATGTATGCCTGCTGAATTTTGCACTACAGTCATATACTCTACACTTTGGAAATCCAAGTGAGTTTAATTTTTGGAGTATCAGCCTTGAGACTGCAGTCCCCTCACATTGGCATAAAAATAAAAATCCTTCCCCCCTCCTGATATTTCCCTTGTCTCTACAAATGTCTAGTATTGTAGAGCATAAAACATTGAAAAATCATCCCAACTAGAGCTCATATACATTCCTTTGGTAACTGTACTTGTCTCTTTTCTTTGGATGCCTAAACTGTATTACTAAGATTTAAAGTTATTATAATACTAGCCATTTGGGGATACAGGATTCTTATTTGGAGACAGTATATTTGTTCTCACCCACTCCCTTAGCTAGACCCCTGTATGATTGCACACCAGGAAGATCGAATGAGAAAACTAAATGTGTCTGGCTATTTCCCAGTGACCATCGGTATGCCCTATAAGTACTGTAATTCCCCCAAAATAAAACTCTACAGACAAGACTAAATTCAACCAATTGAGTTTACTGAATAATCAAGGTATAAAAGTGCAGTTTGATATTGATATAGAATTAGAATAGTGAAATATAAACTCTGAGGTAACAACTATAAACTCTGGGGCATGTATAACTATTCTATGAGGCAAATACAACTATTCTACGAGGCAAATATAGCTATTAACTAAGTTATATTCTATAATCTATAAACTCTAAGGCATGTATGGCTATTAACTATGGCATATATGTTCTAAGGATGGCCTGTTCAGGCTGCAAGCCAAACCAGACACGTTTCTGGCAAACTAACTACAAGCTATGACCAAAAGGAAAGCGATAAAAGGTCGCTTTCAACAAAAGTTTTTCCCAGGCTCAGGCAGGCCTTCAAATGCTAATGAAGATGATCAGTTGAAACATTCACACCTAGCTCTAGCAGAGAAGAGCTCTTTGCCCCACCCCAGCCATTCCACAGATATATAAACCCATTGTCCTATTTCCAACAAACCTCACTACCTCTGAGGATGCTTGCCATAGATGCAGGCGAAACGTCAGGAGAAATGCCACTAGAACATGGCCCTATAGCCCGAAAAAACCCACAAGAACCTAGTGATAAAAGGTTCTTTCACCAGCCCATTCTGGCTCTGAGTCAGAATGGGCTGCACCAACTGAGCTCGGCCTCTAGGGGGAACCTAAGCTTCTCCCCTAAACTTAGCAAAATGGAACAGTCCACAGGCAAGAAAGCACACAGGGAAATAAATACTAGGCCGAGACTTCACACCCTGAGTGCATTTCTTATTTGCCTGGGATTTCTGAGTTAGCTTGTACAGAACTGCCTTCCAAGCCTTCCTCTTAATTTATTTTTTTTTCCTCTTCAGTTCCTGGCCTTTGACACACAACTCCTGATGGGGAATCGTAACTATGCTTTGAGCCCAGAAGAATATATCTTTGGAGCCCTCAACATTTACCTGGACATCGTCTACATATTCTCCTTTTTCTTGCAGATATTTGGGTCCAGCCGAGATTGAGCTAGGCAGCATAGCTACTAAGTGGTCTTTTGTATGATCAAACCGAGCATATATGCATATATAGATATATATGTGAGATAATAAACAGCAACAAAAAGGAGAGGAAAATTAATTGACCTCTCTGGCCCTTTAGTAAGCACCATTCCATCAGATGGTCAATTACTCATCCAGCCATCCACCAACCCACAACCTGCTGGCCTTCTTGAGATCCTCCTACAGTCTGTACATACATATCTATGCTGTGAAACTTTTTGTGACAAAAAAAAGAAGAAGAACCAGCAAACTAGGCTGTAAATGCTAGGCCTTCCCTTGCTTTCACAACTGTCTACAAGCTGTAAATTAGACTTAGAGTAGCAGCTTCTAGAAATAACATTGGGAGCGAGGTAAATACATTTTGGAGAGCCCAGTGCCGGCTTCAAACTGGAGAGAAAACAATTGTGTGGGAATAAAAATGAGTCACAATTCAAAATTGGTTTCATTCAGGTTAGTGGAAAGTGAGCAATTTGTGGATATCTACAGAATGAATCATTGGGTTTCCATGTGTTCTTAATGTGACATATTGTAAACCTTTAACATCCAAGCTCCAACTCAACCATTGTTTTAATTCCAAAGAGGTCAGAGGATCCACAGTGATCCTCATCTAAGGGGCTTTTGCCCCCCACCCTTAGTTTCAGTGATAGTCATGTGTCCTCATACTCACCGGGCACTTTGGTTATACAACACAAAAAGTTTTGCATGTCTTTGCGTTTTCATGCATTACTTTCATGTTGAGGTCAAATGTTAATTTCAGTAGTTGTACACAGTTCCACTTCACTAGGGCAGGAACAGAAGGGGAAAGTGAAATTCCTCAAGAAATTGATGCTGTGGTTACTCTTATGCAAGAATCATAGTGTTAGTACAGAACAAACAATTGCTTGCCCATTAATTTGCCAGTTTCTTGACTCTCAGATATTCGTTTTGCTATCACTTTCATACTACTGCCCCTGCACCTACTCTTTTGCCTGATGTATCATTCTTTTTCTGGGCTATTGATGATGTTTCACTTGGGGAATGTTTCACTTGGGGAGCTAATCATGGCTCAGAAGAAAGCAAGGCAGGCAAAAGTTATGTTTTCCTCTGCTTCTGCCAACCCAGCTAAGTAAGCTTGGCACTGATAGTCTCTTATGAGTTGAAGAAAGTGACTATATTTTCTTGAAAGGAAATAGACATTATAAAGACAGACTTTTCTCTGTCTTTATAAAGAGATTATAAAGTGGCCACCTGTCGACCCAGCACACGCCAAATACAAAACATCTGCAGGCCAGATTACACTGTTGGACCAGAAGTCTCCCTCCTCTCCCTTAGGACCCTTGATATATAGCCCATTCATAGGCAACCATTTCCAGAATCAAAATCTGATTCTATCGCTTTCATTAATATTTAGATTATTTTTCCACTGACATATTCAGAAATGCTGGATGTAGAAATGGAATTTTTCTGTAAATTTCATCTGTAAGTGAATCCTATAGATAACCTTTATAATTCTGCTCCGTAAAGCTTTTCACCAATGGACTTGCAACCAACTTCTGCAGTAATCGTCTAGTCACTTTTAACACTACTATATAGCATTTTAGCCAGCCAGCCAGTCCCATAATACCTGCCTAATATTTGGTGGTAATTTGAGTTCATTCTGCCATTTCTCCTTCTGCCGGAAGTGGATGGGTTATAGGGAGACTGCTAAAGATGGGGATACCCAGGGTGAAAAAGCTTGAGCACCACTGGACAAAAGTGATGTGCAAGGAAGATAAATACATTCAAATTGATGAGGACTTTTTATTTTTAAAAAGTAATTAGAACCTTATTCCAGTGCAAACGAGACCCATGTGCAAACTTCCTGCACAATCTGCAGCATGCCACATACCCAAAATACACAACCACTTATGCAGCCATAGCATTGGTATTTGCACTGTGTTCCACTATATACAGGGTTAGTCAAAATGAATAGGCCAATAAGAAAATTAATTTTAGACGAATGTATGTTTATTGTAACCAAACTACAGCTACGTAGCGACAGATAAACTATCAAAGTTTTGTCTCACCTTCAGAGATGTTTGATATGGGCGCCCCGTGTGACACGGCAGATGTCCAAGCGATAGTCCAGTTCATTCCACATCCGTTGCAGCACATCCGACGTAATGGCATCGAATGCAGCAACGTCTGGGAAGGTGTTCGTTGAGGTCCTAACCCTAACCCTAACCCTAACCCTAACCCTAATCCTAACCCTAACCCTAACCCTTGAAATTCTCGCTGGACCGTAATTACTGACATTGTTTTAGCCAACCCTAACCCTAACCCTAACCCTAACCCTAACCCTTGAAATTCTCGCTGGACCGTAATTACTGACAATGTCATCACACAAAACGCCTTCTCTTTGCTTGATTCCGCCATTTTGAAAACAGCGACCCCTAGCGACGCCTAGCGGCATTAACGTACATGTGTGTTGCTCAAAAAAAACTTTGATAGTTTATCTGTCGCTACGTAGCTGTGGTTTGGTTACAGTAAACATACATTCGTCTAAAATTAATTTTCTTATTGGCCTATTCATTTTGACTAACCCTGTACAATAATGAGCCTCATCATTTCTTATGCATTGCTATCACATTTATCCTCTGCTGAACTCAGGGGTCTAGCCTGTCCTGCTTATAGGGCTGTCCTCCCTGTGAAAGAGGTTAAGTGAGTCTTCTTTAACCCCCCCCCCCCCCCCCCCCCGCTACAAGATCTGTTGGACTACAGCTGCCAAGTAATGACCATGTTGGCTGGGGATAACTGGAGATGTAGTCTGAGACCTCCAAGGACAGAAGGTTAGACTGAGATGACTGTGACTTGCCTAAGGCAATCCCTGGAGTAACACAGCTAAGAAAGGATCTGAATCCTGGTCTCTACCAAGATCTTCATGACCCATGTCTGACATCAGATTATATCTGTAGATAGAGATGACAGTATCATATAATGTTTTGTGTAATAATTTTATTGGTTTGTGGTGCCAGTTTCTTGCTTTACTTCCTAGAATCTCAAAGCACCAGGCAGTCTCCCATCTAGGAGCAGACCAGGCTGGGACCTGCTTAGCTTTAACAGTGTTAATAGCATATTATGTTCTCAGGTGATTCAGTCATTAAACATGTACATTCTGACTTGGAGTGTTTTGTTCATGGTGGTGTTGGGGGGCACCCACTGCGTTGCTTTACTGCATCGGAGACATACACTTTGCAGTCACACAAAGCAGCTTTATCCCACCTAGATCTTAGGAGCTCACCTTTGCCATTTTGGGGAAAGGTTTTGAATTCTGACTAAATTCTAACTAAACAACCCAACATTATCAATGTCTCTCTTCCTTAGAGTGCCCATGAGACTTGACTGTCACATTAATCAATCATAATTGAAAATAATATCAACAGCAACAATTTAAAGTAAACAATGGTGGGGGATTTGGAAGATAGGGCTGGAGTCTTCAGCTACCATTGCCATCTTCTCAATGTGACCCTTTGGTCTACTTGAACTGAAATATCAGCCCTTCTGTATCAGAGCTGGGACACAGAGCTGGAATGAGCCCTGTAACTGAGCAAGAAAGCAGACTACTTTGGGGCAATGGATCTCACAAACCCCAGCATTGATTTCGATTCAACCTGCTCATAGCACTGGACATAACAGATAAAATTAATTCCAGATATTAGTATTTCATAGTACTTCAGAGTTATGCGGAGAAGGACAGTGTGCAGGAGCCACTATCTAATGCATGCATGGCAATCCATATCTATGTGATCAGTACACAATATAGTCCAAGAATGTTTGTTGTTTACAAGGATGTTCTAGGTGCCTAGCAGTATACGTAACCTGATGTCTGATTGATGTCTCTGGTGACACAATATTGCAATTACAACATTTCTAGCATAGCACAAATGACAGAGCTGAGCAAAAACTATGGAGAGACGTCAGCCATTGTCAAGATGCAGTTTATTGGGCTTATGAAACAGAAAAGAATACAGCTGAATCTTAAAACCAGGATGTTGTAGAGAGTTTTCTTTGCTGACTAGACAAGCTCTCTCTTTTACATAACTGCTTCATTCCTTTTGTGATCCTCAGGCAGCGGCCTGAATGAACCCAACAGAGTGTATCAAAGTATCTTTCCATCTCCATGTGGTAGTAATATCCTCCCCTGGAACCCAATCAGCTATTTTCTAAGGGCAAGGTGCAGGCCGAGATGGCTCTAAGCACCCTTTAATGGTTTTCTAAAATGTGATTCTTCTACCTGATAGGAACAGATTATCTGAAATCTCCCTGGGAATTATGAGGCGTCTGCGTCACTCCATTGCCTGTGGCAATTCTTGCCAGGAAAGAAAACAGGAGATGGAGTGTGTTGGTCAGTTGCTGTGACAGTCCTCCTCTCTTGGTGTTTTGCACAATCATTTGCATGCTCACTTTCCCAGCTGATGTTCCCTTGTGAATCGGAGCATAGCCATGTGGAGCCACAGGGGGCAGAGGGTGGGGGGTTTTGTGCACATTTTCCCCATGCTTTTCAGTCTGATCTTGAGTTCTCCAATTTACTGGCAGCCAACAGACAGATATGCAGGATATCTTTAGGCAGTACTCCTTTGGTTAGTTATTCTACACATCCATGATTATACAAGTGTAAGTACTTTGGAGAAATATTCTGCAAAGGGATAGCTGGTAATTACTCCTGCAATGTCCATCCTCCAGCTAAACAACACCCTTTAAAGGCAGCTTCAGGTATAGTACATTACAGTTATCTAAACAATATGCAGCCTAGATCTGGCACTGTGGCCAAATCCAGGAAAAAGCATGGTTGGCTCATAAGCATGAAGTGTGCAAAACCCTCCTTGGTCACTGCAGAAAGCAGAAGCAAACTGCAAACCTGAGACTTCAAAGAAATATAATACCATCTAACACAGGCTTAAATCCCTATTATCCTTTCTGTCTTTTCTGGATAAGTTTCAATTTTCTTGTCCTCATCCAGTCCATTGGCGATGGCAGGCACTGTTTTAGTGTTAGGTGACAAGCAGAACTGGAACAGGGTATCATCACTATACTGGTGGGACGGAACTCCTAACTTTGCTTGACTTTTCCCAGTGGTTTCATGTAGAGATTGAATAGTATGGGGAACGGAACCAAGCCCTGAGGGACTCCTCAGACTAATGGTCAAGGAGTGAAATAGGAATCACCTGACACCACTTTCTGGGTTTACTTCTCCAGGAAGTAACAGAGCCACTATAAAACTATGCCTCCAAGATCCATCCCAGCAAATACTTCCAGAAAGATGCCATGATTGATAGCACTGAAAGCTACTGTGGGGTCCATCCGAACCAGCAGGGGTACACTCCCCCTGTGTACTTCCCCCACTCTTTAGCTCCATCATTAGGGAGGGTGAGGCAGCTGCTACAACCAGTAAATTTGGAATTTCATAAGAGGGTGGCAAATTATCAATCTTTACTTTGCTACTATTCTTTTTATTGCCAGCGAAGAGGAGATTCTGCATCATGTAATAACTGGCTCAGGAAACTCTGCTTCTTTACTTGGCTGAGCAGTCATTTGCTGGTCTGCCTGCAAAATGTCTTTAGTCAGCTCTGTTCCACAGTGTCATTAGTAAGAAAATCTAAATGGTAACTGGCAGGAGGAATTATTCATCCAGTAAAGATTTTTTCATTCCAGCACCAGGGAAGATGAGTGAGATGGGGCAAATCCATGCCAAGATAAAGCTCTCATATCACATTAAACTTTTATCCTGTCTATCTTTCCTGTATTGATCTCATGCAAACTTTAGACTATGACCCACACAAGTACACATTGCAGTCAGATAATTTTGGAAAGAAACAGAGCCTGGATTTTGTGTAATCTCTACCTGATTCTTTCTCCTGATCCTTGGGAAACCATTGGAGGGAGGCATAAAACAAAGAGCATGGAGCCAATGAGAGTGGTATATTTGCTGGAAGGTAGAGGGGGTCTTGAAGAAAGACTATGATTGGTCCTTAGTTCTCACTCCCACTTGTTCCTAAAGCCTCATGCCCACTTCAACCTTCTCCTTTTCCCAGGTCTTAAGGAACTCCAGAGACAACTATTCAAGCAAGAAGTAAGGCCCATTTGAAAAAGGACCAGGGTGATTGTGCTACCTTATCAGAATATACCCATGAATGTGTTGTCTCTGAAATCAGGGCCAGTTCTAAGCAGCATGAGGCAATTGCGTCAGGGACACAAAAGAAACACAAACAAGGTGTTGGAGGAATAAACTGTGTGTTAGATGGCTGCCCCTGCATCCCTGCTGCCCTCCGACATAGTGGAGAATGCGGTGCCATCACCAGCCTAGATTTAACTGCCAGTCAGATCAGTTTCTGTAGGTGCAAG